TTCCTGATGGTTGGTTTACACATAACTATACCAGAGAGTATTTGGAAGGTGAGCGAACTCGCTTCACTCTCAGCTGTGCCAGCACATTTGGGGGAAACATTGAGTCATGTACGTTTGTGACCACATGCATCGTGATTTGACAAATTTGATCAGCACTAAGGATCAGATAAACATGAAACCGGTCACTATTTGGTGATCAATCATGAATATAACTGTTAGTGAGTCTATTACATTCACGTTTTAGGTTTATGCACTACCGAACTAAAAAAAATGTTTGCACATTTCAGGATTCCAGCTGATGATTCCAATGATATTTTTCTTAAAAATTTTAAGTTAACTCTCTTCAATCCATCTCAGTGGATCGCAATTCATATTTTCCGTATGGAGTTGTGAAGATTGTTGAATTTTATTAAAATCATGAACCATTATGAGGTAAGACATTAACATTGTCGGAACCCGGCTCAGTGGTCTAGAGTTTAACTGTTCGCATTCTAGAATGGAGGTCTCGGGTTAGATTCTCGCGTGCGGTGACGTGAGTGTCCACTGCTGCAGAGTCCCATACTACGACGAACCGGTTTCCAGTACTTCCACTTTTTTAGTGATGGTTTAATTTAGATCAGTTCATGATTTTAAGAACAATTCATATTATGAATAAAACCCAAAATCTATAGTGGAAAATCATTTTAAGTACATAATTCATACTGAATACCTGATAGTAACTTCAAAATATTCTTAATTAATTTTCATTGCAATACAAAATTGTTGGCGTATAGAGGTATTAAATTTTATCAAAAGAGATTCAAATTAAAAATAGCTTGATTTCGATCAGGAATGGTCACTCTGAATTTTTGACGCAAAACTTAACTTACAATTACTAATATTTAGCTTATTCTGCCTATATTTAAACTAAAGATAAGTATATTCACATTATGATAATTATCTAAATTGATATTATGTTATTGTAAACAGGATACTAGAAATAAGAAATAAATAATCGTTCAAAAGTCTCATTTAGTTTAATAGTAATAATGGAAATACTTTAAGTGGTTGTACATTATGTATTTGTGTCTGTAGAAAACAGTATTGACTGTATTTATGTATTAAGGTAAATCATGTGATTTCTAATATTTTTAGAGGTATGAGGGTGGTTGTTGCTTACCGATTATGATTAGGAAAGTTACTTCTTCTGAGGTAACGTCGGAAGGAAACTGGATTTTGAATGGTCGTGATAGCTTGGATATATATTTTGTAGCGAGTAATCTCCAAACAACACGAGTCGGCTATTCAACTTCTCTATGATTTTCAGTGGTTTTTCAACTATTTCCTGTTCTTAATAACAATAATTTTTGAATCATACAGAATCTCCGCAAAATCCCATCCACATTTATCAATATATATTCTCAATCTTGATTTAATGTATCAGATCATCCTTATTATTATTATTAATAACTCATTTACGAAATATAAGTTTGTACACTCTAGCTGTGATGGCTAGCGATTTTACTCAGCTACACAAAGTAATTTAGCTGGAATTTGACTCGAAATTTCGACTCAGTGGCTGGAAGGGAAATGCTTTAACTGCAGATATGTCACTGAGTGCAATCGTTAGTATACCCCTACTAATTTGTTTATCCAACAGTGAGAATCTAGGCAATTTATTCATATCATTTCAGTGACTAAAGACTATCACGGATTCGTATGTTTATGTGTGTGTATGATTTGAAGGTTCATTTTTATTCTGAGTTGTGACCCACTAATTAAACACCTCAATATTCATCTAATTAATTGAAATTTTTCATTAAGTTCTCCCTATCTTGATTACGATAATTAAACAGTTTTAGTCTTTTTCAATACCTATTAAATAAATGTATAACAAGTTATTATTTTGTATGAAGTCATTACCGGTACACAGAATCGGAATACTCGTTTATTCCATTTTCTACAAATATTTCTGTTTTTTTCACTACCTTTCATTGTTTCGATTTGATACAATGACTTTTGCTTCTTTCATTCAACTAGTTTCATAGTATGTATGATGATTAGGGTGTAATTTAAATTTGTTCATTTAGATTCCCATTTAGTCATTGTTAATCCTTTGTTAATAAGTGAATAATTCACTTAGGTGTTTCATTTTTCTTTCAAAATGTTTCTTGCTATTTTTTTAACGAGTAGATAGAAATACTAGTTTCAACAACCTTGTCTTTTTGTTTAGGGTGTATGTGTTCAACTGTTTTACAGTTTAATTTTTCATTTAGAATATATATATTAACTTGTTTTCACATGTGTGGCATAAGTGAAATATTCATTTATCAACTGAAGGATGAGTCTAATGTGTGGCAGTTCTCTCCGTCCTACATTATGAATATGAAACATGGCCGTTAGGAATAGGAAATATACATAGATTACTAATGTTAATCATAGATATCCTTGAAGCATATTGCTTTTGTGTTTTTGGAACATCGAGAGGGCGATGACCGGGGTTTACATAAGGTACAAAGTAAATGTCGGTTAGTTTGTAAGCTTTCGTCATCTGAGACAGTTATTTCGTTTTATGTATGTTCAACCACAGTTCACCTCGACGAGCGATGTTGGTTGGTGTAAAAGCAGGTCGAAAGAATGTTACGGGGGCCGAACCAAGATATGGCATCAGTCTATGGAGTCGTTGACAATGGGACTGAGCCATAATAATAAGTGTCAACTACCTGATTACTATAATTACTATAGTCGGTCAGTCAAACACAACTTAGAACCTGACACATGTGTATATCGGTTCAAGTTGCCATACCCCATTATCACCGCGAGATGAAATTGCCGGGACGAATTCCAGGGTAGTAGACGTAGTAAGAGTGTTAATGGTAATATAAAGGAATAGGCATCGAACATACGATTCAAGGATACAAAAATCAGTGAGACGAACAAAGTTATGAGGAATTTAGAAGCTTAGAATTTAGGGGAAGACAAAGAATGAATGCGCCTGCGCAATTCCAAACGATTGTGAGCCGTGTCATTCAAGATCTTTAACCAGTGGTTATATTAATCACGCGGATTCCAATCAGGTTGTCCGCATCTACATATATGGCCCAGCCTAACTGTCGATTTCTTCATGGACTGATGTCATTTTTTAGACGTCGCAACCAATGATTAGATACTTTATGTAACATGGCTCAAAACTACTATCAATGGTTCGTATGCATTCACTGTTTGTGTTTCCTTAGATCCTGAATCCCGAATTCTTATACGTTCTTTCCTACTACTGCTGATACTATTAATACTTCCACTACTCTGGGATTTATTTCGAAGTAATTTCATTTCCATGTGCTAAATCCGATATGAAAACTTAAACTGATGCCCATACATACTTTTAATTATTATGATTAATATCAATATTTTCTGTCTGCATGATCAAATGATTTAAATAAAGTGAAGAAATCATACAAATTAAGCATGTTTAGATATTTCATACTAAGAATATGTTAAACAGAGATCTTCGTTTAAAACAAAAATAATTCGTTGAAGCTATATATATATGTCAAGTAGTTACATTAGTAGTTTATTGTTATTGTAATGTTATTATACATCAGGTATAGAGATGATAAATTATTTTATGTAACAAAGTTTGTTCCTTTGTTTATGACGAAAAAACTAAGTAGAAAATAGATTATCATAGTAAAAAACAAAAACAAATGTATCATTTTATATCGTTAACATTTAATCATTTTGAATCAGTTTAAATGGTAGCTAAGTGCAAATATTTTAAATGGTTTTTTTCCATCATATGAAAATAATGTCAACTAAAACTCTGAAGTGAAAAAGAAAAGCATTGGATGAGTGTTGTCCAAGATCTGATATTGAGATATAACGTGCAATACGTTAACTATCTATCTAGCTACTTGAGTAAGAACACAATAGTGAATCAAGAAGGTGTATTGCGCTGCTGACTAATGTGCACAAATAATCATATATATAGGTCATATCTAGCCAAGGAAGGGACAGCGTCGTCCCGAATTTCTTCTGAACACATAAACTAGGGTTATAAGTTCGGATCTTCATAGCTTTTGTTATATATAAGAGACGGGATCAAACCTCATAAATTGCCTTGATCGGTTCGACGTTCCTATATATCCATATAAATATTTATGTGTAAAAGGTAAAACATCATGACGATCAAATGGAAAACAACATCGTTCGCTTAAATATGTGTTGTTTCACAATGGAAATTAATACTTTAGATCGTTTTGTTGGGAATTTAGTATAATTTGTGAGTAGCCTGTTGTTCCGATTAAAATTATCCATAGAACCAGTTAAAATCATATACTATTGTCTATCCGTCTTAAAACTAGTTTGGAATTTCTGTACAGTTTTGACTAACGTAACAAAATGCATGTTGGTACGGATACTACTATATGATTTCTGTGACCCATGTGATAGAGACAACCTTCTTGATGTATTCTCCTCCATAATCCTTAAACGTTTTATCACTTTAAATATGTTTTTATACTGATTAAGTGTGTACCTTTTCAAGATTGGTTAACTTTAACCAATTTAGTTGCTTAATTCACAACATTTAATATTCAACCATTTGTTTGCTGATTCAGCCTCCGTTCCATCAATTTCGGGTACTGGGTTATATCATTTGCTCAAAAACTGAAACTCATGTGGTTCAAAGCCAGTTGTGAGGACTTATGGAAGTAAATTATTTACCAAACAGTAGCTTTGTGTACTCAGTTTTTAGCCACACCGTGGGGGCTAGTGATACTGAATCTGCAACTTAACCGTTGAAGGTCCGAGTGTCCCAAGTGATGAATTATCCCTTCCCAAGTGTTATACTAATTTGTACTAGTTTATTAAATCTCATTTATTCAAGTATTTTAACTGAATGCATCATTGTATAATTCATCCTTGTATGGACTTTGTTTCTTGTCTTTTTTTAAGAAGCTTTCCGTTATAGCTCATCTCTTTTTGTACTGTTTTTTTTCTTTTGAATTATTAACTTAAAAAAGATGGGACCATTTCATGATCATTTCTCACAAATCTTTGAATTAGCATGGAATGAAAAATCAGATTCGCCTGATGTTAAGAAAAAAAAGCATAGGTAAGTTCGAAATAAAGTTCTTTAAAATTAGTTGTTTATATGTGTATGCCTTATTCTTTTACATACATTTTATTGAGAGAATGTTTATTGCCTAGTATCAACCGACTCTTTCACTATGTATTTAATTTGCTTAGCTTATTCACCAGGTCGAGATTCATGTACTTAGCTTTAAACTACACTCTAGATGTTAAGGACTCTTTATACTACTACCCAGTTGTTCACTAAGCTCTTGGTAGCTGTTTCACCCTTTTATGAGACTCTCCAACAATACACATCCACCACCTCACCGGTAATCAAATCCAGGACCTTCATGTCTCGCGACAAGTGCATAACCTTTGGACCATTAAGCTGGCATCCAATATTTTGCCTTTCTAACTTCTATCCATTTAAAATATTCCACAACCATCTTTTAATCCGATTGGTGGTTACGTGCCTCACATTTGACATTACTGAACTCCACTAGTCACGGTTTCTCACTTATCAATTCTGTACACTGGTATGGTCTAAGATTTTAAGTGTACTATGCTGTTAAGTAAATAAAAATAAAATGTAATCAAATTGTTTTGCAGAATATAGCCTTTTTTCCCTCATATATGTTTTCATATCCTAAGATTACTGCTATTATTATTAGTAGTATTAGTGTTGGTAGTAATCATAAAAACTGCTTCTTATTACATTCCTTTTGTGTGTCTCACCCATGTCGGGTATGAGGCAGTTACTTACTAATGATACCAGAATACGATTCTAAAATGTCGTAAATTGATTGAAGTTTGAAATGCAAATCATTATGATGTCGCACAAATAGTCTAAAAGTGAAGCGCTTACAGTAAAACCTTAAGGCTCTGCGTTCAACCCTGGATAGAGTTATAAACACACAATGATCAGGAATCGTTTACTAATATAAAGTAGCTGTCCAATGCTTTCCGGGTTCGGTCTAACTAAGATCACTGTTTGATGTAAACTATAAAATCTATCGATCCCTACTAATACCTTATAATATGTTTCTTTTGTGTCGATATATGTGTTTGAATATTATGAATAACTGGGATCATTTTATTAGTATTATCATTATTATTCTTTGTATTCAAGTGAAGGTTTTCTTTAGGGATTTAATGGTTTCATCGGAAGTGTTAAAGTTTAGATTTTTCAAAAGATCTGACTACAAGCCAAGTAGTAGTGTTTTCGTTAGTTTTGCCCGATGTTTTGCCAACTGTTATTTCTGTACAAAGTGAATACATTTAGACCATGAACCGATCACTGCTAGACAACCATAGCCGCACGTGGGATCCGAACCCAGAACCTTCATTTGCGCACGAACGCTTAACCCCTAGACCACTGAGTCGGGATCCGATGGTGTTAATGTCTAACTTCAAAAAATCCACAATACTGCACGAGCATCTTCCACTGTATTCAATATGACGTTCGCATCCCACTTATTTTAACTAATTGACCCATGCCAATCAGTGAATGCAAATTATTTGATAGTTGCTGTTTTGATGATCATCTTTATTAATACTCGCTCTTACTGGTGTTCACTATTGTCAATCACAAATATACAGTTGGGAGTTTGCACTTGTTATGGGTCCCACAAGTGAAATTCGCCGGACTGTTTGTTGTTCTTTTTAGCTTGTCATCAGTGTATATTTCTTTTCTATCTTAGAACAACTTATAAGTAACTCATTTGCAAAATGTACACTTGTGTAGTTTTCTATGAAACGACATTTTAATTGTGGAAAAATAGTGATACTTTACTATTCTACTGCTGGCAAGGCAGTAGACAGAGCGAAGTTTGAACCTGACAAACGAACTAACCATCTATTCCATTGCTTCAAAAACAAAGTAGGGATAACAGATGTTTTTACACTAATTAAATATAAAAATATGAAATCTAAGAATTGCATTGATTCAGTCAGTTTACTGTAATTGTTCGTTTTAATTTCTGCTTTTGGACTAAAATTAAAAAGTCTTCAAAATATACAGTATTATTTTGATTATCTATTTAATACGTAAATTGATCTGTAAACTGTTTAGATATTTTATCAACTTCATCAGTAGTGTATTCAAACCGAAAAAAAAACATTTGAAAGAGTTAACAAATAAATGTTATTTAATTTACTTTTAATATTCATTAAGTCAATGTTATATTGTAAATTTGATAAGTTAGTCTTACACTAGAATGATTGTATTTAAGCTTTCTCGGATAGGTCTAATAACTAATATCTAACAGAGAAAGAAATAAACTTCTGAAATACGACAGTGGGAACGGTTCCAATAATGATTATTATTTAGAGTCAGGAGATGAATGCTGTTAACTCCTTTCGGATGGTGGATAGTGTTATTAAATTTTGTGATTATTAGTGATTGAAATGTATGGTATTTTCTGGATTTAGCTTGTCGCTAACGTCGTTATATTTACCTTGCCTAGCCCTTCTACAATCACTGGTTGTTTGAAGTATTGGCTCATTAGCCAAGATGTTCAACTTTCAACCACTGAGTTACAGGTTAGAACTCCGCTTTGCCTATTTCGACTTTCGGCAACCGCGGGTAGTGGTAGCTCTCACTCAAACTTAGAATGTGTGTGGTGCTTGAAGTCAAGTTTATGAATCTCTACCTGGTAAATGAGTTAATCAATAAAAAAGAATCGCTAATCAGTCTATTTGGTTGAAATCGGTTTATCCTTATGAAGTATTATAATGATAGTCGTTCTACTGATAAAAAATGATTTTAGAAAAAGAATCAAATCAAATTTCTCTTTCAAGTTTCAGTGTAACATGTCTATCCTCGCTGTAATTTTCCCACTTCAATCTGTGTAACATATGTCATCAGAACAATTTAAAATAAAGTATAAATGAATGAGAAATGAGCAATTAATTCATTCCAATGGTCAATACTTGTTTACTATGTTTCTTTGTATCCTTTTTGTTTCTGAACTGTCTAAAACCATAGTACACAGTTCCATAGTTTTTGTTAAGACCTTGTTTTTCTCTTGTTAATTGTAACGTTCTCGATAAACAATCTTTATTCTTATTATTACTCAGCTAGTGAAATCAATTAAATGTCACTTATTTCCAGCCCGTACTACTACCACTACTATTATTATTGTTATTATTACTACGATTAGCATAATATTTATCGATCACTAAAATTCTTCAAGGTTTAGTAAATAGGATTATAACGGACTAGTTTTGTTTCCTGAACAATTAATCCTATGACTAGATACATAATTATATATATACATATATATAATTATGTCACTTCAGTGCCAAGTTTTCAAATCACACGCAAATAATCATTGAGATGATAATATGTATGATGATGCCATAAAAAAATAACATATTTAATTCAAATTGATTTACAGTTTTCTGTCACTGCTGTTTAGTTTAAAAGTAGTATGTTTGATGAGGAAATTGAATATATTCAACACTGGTAAACCATTGTCAATATTTATCTAGATTGAATTCTCTTAACAAACAGTTCACTACAGCTGATATGCTATGCGATCTTAAAGGGATGATGTAGTATAGCAACTTAAAGTAATGCATGTATATGTGCTAAGGTCCTACATTGTTTGTTACTGACTGACTGACTTTTATTCCACAATATAGCATACTCCATATTTTCACTGCGAAATGAAATTGTGTTATTCAAAGTATAACATGTTGAACTAAAAAAACTGACTGGGAAATGCATGTCTAAACTGTCTAATTATTGCTGAACTCTTAGATTTGTAATAACTTCATAAAGTAACACTTGTGCTAATATGCTTACGGTACTCTGGTGTTGATTGTTTTTTGACAAAAATAACAGTTTGTACAATCTGGTAATTAGGTAGGAAGCACTTCGAATGGTCAATAACTTTTTTGTCACAAATATTTTAATAAAGTTGGTTTGTGTCTAGCGGTGGAACCCATGATGTATGTTTCGTCCTATCCAAGAGTTAGATGAGTGTACCTGTATCTTAATGTTTACATTCATATTAAGAATCGAACCCAGTAATTCTTGCTTCAAACACTAACATATTCACTGAGTCTTGACGGTTTCTGTGTTGTGTAACAGGTATGAAATTTATTTTACTTATAAGGGTTTGTGTTTTACCATTGTTGATGTTAAGAATTTAGTTAATCAATCTCTATTAGCAAATGCATCTCAGGTAAGACGAAACGCGTGTTGTGGGTTTCACTGTTAGTACTGCTTCCAAATTATCGTGGTTAGTTGATAATATCGACACTAACACCATTGGGTGCCGCCTCAGTGGTCCAGGAGGTTAAGCGTTCGCGCGCGAGACTTAAGGTCCTGGGTTCGAATCCCGCGAGCGGGATCGTGGATGCGCACCGCTGAGGAGTCCCGAAATAGGACGAAACGGCCGTCCAGTGCTTCCAGGTTTCCAACAGTGGTCTAACATCAGTCGGTTCATGATCTCAATCAAATATCGAGAAAATTCACTCATAATAGCGCACATAAATTTAGACTCAGTCAGTCAGTAACAACGTAGACTTCGTACGTACGTACATCAGTCCGAGTTGCCATACCACATTAGCACAGAGATGCAGTTGTCGATTCAAATCTCATAGTGGTAGAGGTAGTAAGAGTATAAGTGGTAATCGGAAAGATTAGGGTTTGGAGATTTTATTTAAATAGTATAATCCAGTGAAATAAATTTTGGAAGAGAAAAAAAGAGACAAGGAGGAATCAGGAGATTAGAATTTAAGAGAACACAAAGAGTGGATGCACCTGCGCCATTGCAAACGACTTTCAGCCATGTCATTCAGGGTCTCTAACCATCGGTTGCTATCATCTCGCGGTCCCCAACCAGGTAGTCTACACCTACCAACATGACTTAGTCCACTTGTCAGTGACTTCATGAACTTGTGCCATGTTTTGGTCTGGCCGCCCCTAGCTTTCTTCCAACCTACTCCTATACCACTGAACATAGCACGTCGAGGCAGTCGGTGGTTGGGCATACGTAACACGTGTCCCAGCCATCTCAACTGATGAAGTTT